ATGTGCTTGGGGTTCTGCGATTGACAGCCACATGGACAGCTTGTCCTGTGAAGTCCGGTACTTTTCTTCTACATAAATACGAATTGAGCCCCATTTGCTCGCTTCGTATTTGTATCTCTAGACTGCTTTGGGTCCTTGTTACGTTTCAATTGAGTGGAAATGGCGATTCCTGGAGACTTATTTTCTATCGATCTGACTTTCAGTTCTGATAAAATTTAGCTGCTCTCCGGGTTTCGGGATCGGCGATTGCTTTATGTCAAGGTAATAGGAGTAGCCTTTGATTTTTCCAGGATATAGCTCAGTCTTGATGTGTGATACGGTTTGACCGTAGGTTGAGCTTAGATGAATACCTTAACGTGTTGTTAGGAATATTTATAACAAGGCTGCATGGAGAGGATAGATGAAGCTGAACAAGGCGGCACTACTAGTCAAGAGGTCTAAGCGTCACTACAACTAAGTAACACCTAGCGATGCGTGGCTGGGTAGCAAGTATTGTGCCTAAGGATAAATCATCAGTCTGGAGATTGACGAAGGGTCCATCTCTTACAAATATCTATTAGTCGTAGCTAGTGTTCTCTTTTCTCCTCATATAGTCTAGTAAATCGATTTATTCATCATCAACTCGGTTTCTGTCACAGTATGCTGCGACTTTTCCTGACTCTTTCTGCTGTTTTCTAGACTGTTCTTCCCCACAAATTTCCACCCAGTTTACCAGATCTATATGTCCGGTATTGTGACGGAAGAAAGCTATAGCTCAAAGGCGGAGTTGAGTGTTTTTTAGGTAGCTGTAATTATTATTTAGCAGTTGGAACACTCACTACAGTGCCTCTAGGTTCCAAAAGGTAAAACTTCAAACTGGGTCGTTGAAGGGATTAGCCCTGTAGGTGCAGTTTGGCTAGCTTGTAATAGGTTAGTATGTCTCTCCTCCTTACCCCGCTCGCCATGAAGTATGATCCAATCGTCTTCTTCTAATAATCGCTTAGTAAAACATATTTTCAACGACATTTTTGGCTGCCTAACCTAAACAGTCACTGAAACCTCTCACCACTATCAATTCATCCTCTATTCTAGCAAACAATGTCTCTCGAAAAGTCTGCTTCAGAAACTAAAGCTCCCAAGCATCTAACTCGCGATCAATGTATTGAAATAAGAGCATTAAGAAGACTTGGCTTGACACTTCAAAATATATCCAACAAACATGGCTTCACAATAAGACAAGTACAACTTGCGTGTGCTCGAGAGACTGAGAATCCTATGTCTCGCAAAGAACCCTTACCAAATTAAGCGCGGAACAAGTTGATGAGCTTGAGGCTTTCGTCCGGGAGTCTCTAGAAAATCGACAGATGTGCTATTTGGAACTAGCTATGGAGCCCTTCAGCCACTGGAGATGCAGTGAACGTCTAATTTCTAATGCACTCAAAAAAAGAGGTTACAGCAGATGCATTGCTCGGAAGAAGCCTCCGTTAAGCGCGGTGAACAAGCAGAAAAGATTGGAGTTCGCCCAATTACATTTAGATTGGAGCGATGAACAATGGAGTCGCATATTATGGACTGATGAAACCTGGGTATCGGGTGATTGTCATATGAAACCTCGTGTCACAAGAAAAGTACATTTAAATTCTATCTAAATCTTCCTTGTATTAACAGCAGAGTTTAGCCTGATGATGAGTTTGATGAGACTTGTATTGTGGCTCGCCATACTCATGGGAACAGCTGGATGTTTTGGGGATTATATAACGGATCATAAAAAGGCCCATTCCTAGTCTGGGAGAAGGATTGGGGATCAATGAGGTCCTCATCCTTTTGTGAAAGGATTTTGCCACTTTTGAATCAATTTCACTCGGAAAATCCAGAAATTTTATACATGCACGACAACGCACCATGTCACAAAGCGTACTCAACAATTGAGGCGCTGCGTGAAGTTGGAATAACGCCTATGAGATGGCCACCCTACTCTCCGGACCGGAACCCGATCGAGTCATTGTGGAATACCTTAAAAAACCACATTCAGGTAAATAGTCCTGAGATAAATGGGGTCAGGCTTGTGCGCTCTGCCACGATGAAGACATTGCTACAGGATGCATGGGACTCTATACCTTCTGAGGAGCTATTGTTACTAGTTGGCAGCATTCACGAAAGATGTGTAGCAGTGATAAAGGCAAATGGAGGGTACACAAAGTATTAGGATGGAGAAGACACACAAAACATGTAGTACGCTTTCATTTTAGTTGCGAGCCATACTGAGGGCTTCGATGTAGACTTTTGTAATACAGAGCAATAATTTTTGAAATAGATGTGCATTTTTTAGAGAATATTAACTGACCTTTTTCAATTTTGAATTTCAACTGAGGACTATTGTACTTTTCCCATTGAGTTCAAAACCATCCCCATAATTTAGACTTTCACGGAATGTCATTGGATAGTACCCCTTGCTTGCATAACTAGTCGAATAACTCTACATGGGCCTGCATGAAGATCATACCAATTAAGGCAGTATTAACAGGGATCTTACCCCAGTCATTTTGACAAATTTACCTTTGCCATCCATAAGAGACTGTAAGATCATGAGCAAAAGCGCATGGACCCCGATTTATCCTGTAAATGCAAGTTGTATTTGGGTCTTCTCCGCCATGAACCACTTTTAAGATCCGTATTAAGTCCTTTCATCCTATGATTTATGACCACGATCATTTATCCCTTGATGGGTGTGTGCAAGGCTGCTTCAACCCAGTAGTCAAGTTTTTGAACCAACAGTGGGTTTGTAAGTGATTGATATCACTCTATCGATTTGAAGTGGGGAGGGATGTGCTCCAGGTACTTATGGACGCAACAAGTCAGAGAGCGCGACTGCATTTTAATTTTGGAGTCTTCTGAAATAATTTTTAAGTGTGCAGTTACCTACACCTGGTCTATAATTAGTATCTATTGTACACTTAAATTATTTATTTAAGAAATACTCAAGCTCTACGTTGTATTCCGACTTACCACTTAATAATTTACATATTTAGATGCAATCGTCAGTTTTTGTCCATGGATATCTTATTGTTGAGAGATTTAAATACTGGAGATTTCAAATCCCGTGATGCTCCGGGTGACTATTTTCAACACTTGTCAGTAGTGGCCCCTACGAACCTCCAGCTCTCACTGTGGAGTCTCCAGAGCCGAAATTGAGTAACAAAGTCCTCACTTCGACGAGGATTCCCAATCGCTTTCGCCGTCTGTATCATCTTCATCTCTCAACCAAACCCCATATCAACATTGTCATGAAGCTAACCACGATCAGATTAGATGGTAGGGTCGAAGCCCTCAGCATCAGAAACACTTGATTAGGGAAGAAATGCCATTCGATCAGTTTCCGGAGCGTAGGCAGCACCCGATATCGCGATGGTGGATTGGGTAAAGATGGTATCGAATGTCACAAAGAGGGGAGATGTAGATAGGTATGCACACCTCATAAGTTCCCGGTATCTAGTCGTCGCCTGGCTAAGACTGCAGATTTTTTGAGACTTTTTCCCGCGCATGCACTATTTATCGCTGCCATTTTTCATTCTTGTTTTTGGGTAGAAGGTTCCGTGGAAGAGATGGTTGACTTATTTATTTTATTTATTTATTTATTTATTTATTTATTTATTTATTTATTTATTTATTTATTTATTTATTTATTTATTTATTTATTTATTTATTTATTTATTTATTTATTTATTTATTTATTTATTTATTTATTTATTTATTTATATTAACGTCGTGCCTGCGCACAACACAGTGCTTTAAAGCCCCATGCCGGTTAGCTCAGCCTATAAAGGGCTACCCGACGCACCGGCATTCCCATAACAAAAACCCGATAAAGACCCCACTGCTCCCGGTCCGCATAGTCGCCAGATCAGTGAGACTCTTCTTAAATTGATATAAATTATATAATTAAAAGCGGAACTTAAACTACATGTGGATATTCGTATTTAGATAGCGTTGGTGTCTAAGTAATCAGGGCTGTCCTACAAATGTAGGTGCAAACAGAGCTTCCCCAATAAATGGTACCTTTGAAACTCTTCGAAAAAATAGAGTGGACTTAAGCCAGTCTCGGAACAAGATAGCTCCTTCTGGTGAGCTTAAAATCCAGCGAGCGTCTGGAGGACGGGGGCGATTGGCTCCACGAAGCCGCGCCTGTAGTAGGCCATGTTGACAGGTCATGAAATGCTCCGGCGATTTATCATGTCCACAGGAGCATGTTAAAAGTGAGCTATTGTGTGCGAAACGACGGTGGTATCCTGCAAAATCACCTTGGCCAGACCGCGCAGCGAGAAGAAGGCCAAGGGACCGGCGATCCATACTAGCGAGCTCTGGGGTGATGCGGGAGCTTGGCCCGATTCTAAGCGCTCTATACCGGTCAGGGGCATTTCGCGACCAGTATTCCGACGCAGAGGCCTCGAGATGGTTGACTTCCATAGGTAAATAATAAGCTGAATGGCTATTGATCACGGGCAATATATTAATAATCTTTCAAGTGACAAAAGAGGCAAGGTGCATTACACAAAGTGTGGCCTGGGCCAGATAGGAGCCCCATGCGATAGACAGTCCGTGACTCAAGCAGTACAATCAACATGCCTTTCTCTCTCCCGCGATGCTTGCCGTAGATACGAGAACCTTAATTGATGCGGTTTGAGCTGTCATTGTAGGGACTTGCGACTGTGTGTGTTATGTTGGACATAATACTAGCAAACTCAGAATCGTCTATATAGATTAGTTCGCAAGGGGTACTATTGCACCATCCGGCCCAAAGTACAGTCCCGAATCTCAAAAACAATTATTCAATCTCTACGCGCTCCCTAACCTTACGATTTCGTCGTCGACGTCTTGGGAAGCTACGCGCAACCAAACCAAACATAACGTACCACGATTCTTCCAAAACTTAGGACCCGGAAAACTCATTTAATACCATAGGCAGTCACATTCATCAGCCCTGATCTCTTTTACAACAGGAAAGAATTCAAAAACTGTGTAATATGTCGCAAGATACTGGTCTCTTCTCGGTGCGGCGACCTCGGGAGGCATGTGTACATTCTCAATCTTTGATTCCACAGTTACTCTAGTTTAATTCGCTCCCATCTAGTAACTAGACTGACGTTTACAGACGATCGGAGGTGCTAATTACAACTCAAGTCTTCCCCAACCTGCATCAACTTTAAAACGATCAAATTCAATATCAGGCATCAATGCAACACACACAGCTGGATACGTCCGCTCTTTATCAAGCTCTCGACAATCTCTTGCCCCTCAAAGACCGAGTCAGCCACAATTTCAACGTGCAACTTCTGGGACAAATCTACAGGATTTAGGACTCTCGTCGGTAAAGCGTACATCTTTTCAAAATAGTAGTGGGCGTAAGAGCTATGCTCCGGCTCAAGTTGGACGTCCATCAGATGAAATTACTGAAAGAAGGAGTAGTGTCTATCGCTCTAGGCTATCTACGAATGGTTCCGTAGGACATCAAAGCTTTTTCCAGCAGGCACCCCAACCGGCTGGTGTGCCCAGAGATCCCCGACCTCTGCGAGATCGTTCTTATCAAGCAAAAATTGGCCAGGAACTTCTCGATTACATGGCGGCAAATAACTTTGAAATGGAGATGAAGTATCAGCTCACCCAGAACAGTATTAAGTCGCCTACTGCCAAAGATTTCAGCTATATGTTTCAATGGCTTTACCATAGAATCGACCCCAGTTATCGCTTCCAAAAAAGTATTGATCAAGAAGTACCACCGATTCTCATACAGCTGCGATATCCCATGCAAAAAAGCATCACTAAAAGCTCTCTGGCTGCTGTAGGCTCTGCAAATTCGTGGCATATCTTCCTTGGCCTCTTACATTGGATGATGCAATTGGCACAAATGTTAGATGGATATGGAGATAATAAATATGATGATGCTTGTACTGAAGCGGGCGTTGACGTTAGTGGGGATAGAATAATTTTTGACTTTCTTAGCAGAGCCTATCGAGACTGGCTTTCAATGGACGAAGATGCCAATGATGACGACCAAGATCAAGTTCTGGCCCCTCACATAGAGGCCATGGCTAAAAATTTTGAGAATTCGAATCTCAGAAACTTAGAAGAGCTTCGTGCTCTTGAATCTGAAAACCAGCGCCTTCGCAAGGAACTCCAAGCTCTCGAGAAGTCTGAGTCCGATGCAGCAACTCTAGATCGAAACTATAAAATCATGGAGGAAGACAAGGTTAAATTTGAAGAGTTTGATACACGAATGAATCAAAAGTCCGAAAAGTACGAGACTCGCATTCAATTCCTCCAAGATGAGATTGAGAAGCTGGCTTTGGAGTGGAAAGAGATAGACGAGGAACGCGCAAACCTTCAGAAAGCTTTGGATGACCAAGGAATCAGCATGTGTGATATTGATAGAATGACAACTGAGCATGAACGTTTGCAAAAGGGAATCGAGTCAACAAACCAAAGGCTTGATGAGGCGAAAAGAAAGGTTGTTGAGAAAGAAATTGAAGCAAACGAACGGCTTGAAGACCTTGAAAGAATGGTCGACAAGTATAATAGTCTAGCATACCAAATTGGTCTCATTCCAGCGGCCGCAACTAATAAGAAAGAAAATAAATATGAGCTACAGGTTGTTGTCAATGAAGGACCTAATTTCTCTTCATCTCAGATGGGTCAGTCGACTAGCATGGGCATAGAAAATGACCGACTATTAGTTGATGGTGTCGTCGGGTATCAACCAGCTCATATTCTTAATCTTGATCTCCGTGGCCAAGTCAAGAGCAGTTTCGTGGATCTAAGAAAAGAAATATCAGAACGACGAAGTGTTGCGATGGATGAGGTTGTGCGGCAACATGATTTGTTGGATGGTTTAAAGGAATCACTTGAAGATAAGCGTGGTGAAGTTGAAGCACTTGAACATCGGGTCCGGAGTGCTGAGGAAGAATACGAAAAGACAAGGGAGGTCAGCACGACACAGAAGCTTGCATCCGACGCTCAGATCGAAAGGATGGAGAAGGAGCTTGCAAAGATGCGCTCAGGTTTAACTGAGTCTGTGCAACTCATGGAACAACGAGAGATGAATTCTAACATCGAGTATGTTAGATATTCCGAGCTACACTCGCTATCGACTAACAATTTACAGATATGAGCAGCTGATACTCAGTGCGAATGCGCTTCGTGAAAAGTTGCACACTGACATTGAGAAAATGCTCAATGATATTATCAAGTTCAAAGTGCACATTCAGAAGAATCTTGAAGACCTCGAAGAATTTGTAGTTGACGAAGTTGAGCATGAACTAGCGGTTGATGAAGACGACAAGGAACCATCTGTGGATCTTGAGTAATGAAAGCTATACTCTGGGGTACAAGCACCCATCTAATCTCTTCATCATAGTTTTTACCAAACTTGTTTAGTGAGTTAAAGCTTATCTTTAGCGTTTTGAGTACCCATTCCAAAACTAAGATCACGCTAGAAAATATATATTTACGTGAGGCTAGGATCTTCTGCACATTTGTTTACGCAAAGACGCTACTGCAGACAAACGATTTTCAAAGAACTTACCTCTAGTTGCAATATAAGTAAGACTAGTATCTAGAGAAGTAAACCTTTATCGAAAAATCTTCGATAAAAATTTAGCTGTTTTTAAAGAAGAAAATAACCAGAGATTGCCAAGTCACTGGAGATTATCTAATCTACTGACTAATTAGCTTCTAAATTCGTAACCAGTGACCTAATATTGGTCAATAAGGTTACAACAGCTCCAATTCGAAACCACCGCAATGGTCTTTCGAAAATATAGACAGGATACAAAGTATAACAAGTATAAATACAAGCCGCCATTGTTATGGCCAGGCATCCTTGAAGAAGGTTCAAGGAGAAAGTTCGAGGAGAAGGTTCGAGGAGAAAGTTCTCAGGAAACGTTCAATGAGAAGATATCCGAGAAAACTCTGATAATTAGAGTTGGAGGGGCTTATCATGACATAATCTTTCAAAGCCTCACTTAAATCTAGCACGTAGTTAGTCATACTTAGGGAAGCTAGAGTTACTCTAAAGTAGTTCTTCAGCTTCTAAATCTTATATCCTCATAGTCTCTAGAATCCTACTACTCGTCTCGATCTCTCAATCTCTCGTTCTGCTGTCCTAACCTTTTGCGCCTCGCCCGTTCAGTCCAACACCACTAACTTTGCCCGTCTATATCGTCTCGTATTTACTCGCCTAGTCATGACTAGGATATCTTCAGCCGACGGCAAATCCCACTTCGTTCACCACACGCCGTAACAGCCATGACCCCTTATTCGACGTCTCTATGTTGGTATCTTGACCTTTTGGATAAATACGAATAGAGTTTATTAACTTAGTCTTTGTTAAGAATGAATGAAATATGCTAGTAATAGTCAACTATTAAGATTGGAGGCTCTTAATAACTATGGCTAAAACTTCAGCTAGGATAGTAGGGTTGATTTGAAGTATATACTAGCTTTCTATCTCCTCATAAGCGATTAAGATCAATAGATCTTACACTTATCTTTCAAGAAATTTCAACAGCCGACCATGCAGATCACGAGGATTAATGGCGGCATTAGGTTCAAGTTATTTTTTCAATAAGAATGTACTTCTACTGCCCAGTCAATGAGGTTTCAGCCAAATTTGATACTGGTAAACTCTTCGTCCACTCTTTCTTTAATCTCGCATAGGTCATCTTTACATTTTTCGGCATACAGGCTTATAACTAAGAGCATGATGCGATCCATATGATTTGTAGTTTCAAATGACTCTTTTATTACTACTATTTCTAGATGAATTTGATTACTCTACACCAGTATAGTGTAGAAATTAGCAAACACTTTACCGGAATTAAAGCACAATAGAATAGACGAGGACTACCCATCTTTGATTGCTACTAGTGCCGGTTGAGTATCAGCTGGTAATGATCTCCGAAGTGGGACCGTAATTCCATTACATAATAAATATTACATCACAAAACCACTCTACTTTAGCGGAGTAGAATATTCAGAGATAGTATGTATCAAATAACAATACTTGGAGATTGGACTATCAGAAGGACTACCTGTCAGGAGATCGATACTATCTGCGTGCAGCAAAGTCAAGCAGACTACAAGGGGAACAGAGAACAGACACGCCAAGAATCGAAAGCAAGACATTGAAGAATGGATGAGAATTTGCGGCCTGGAGAGTGCGAAAGGGAGACAAAAAGAAGCCGGTAAGGTGGCCGCGTTCCAGGAGTGGAAAAACTCATGGACACGTCCAGTAAACGAGATACTATCTGGTCATCGAGCTTCGGCAGACCCTGAACATTGGAAAGCCGCAAATATTATTACAGATGAGACATCAGGTAGAAAAAGGATTACATATAGAAACACACCCTCAAATATCCACCGAAACCTTAGAAGGGCCCAAAGCAGTATTGCAGTTCAGATAAGAAGTGAGAACATTGGTCTCAATTCTTATCTGTATCGAAGGAAAGTCCCCGGAGTGATTAATCCAAAATGTCAAACATATGGTCTTGGAGTTTCCTCAGTGGGCAATGGGAAGAGGAGAGGTGCTTCAAAAGGCAAAAGACAGGTCATTTGCGGCAATGATGAACAGCTCAGATGACATAGAGAGAATTACAAAATGGATCCTGGCAAAAGGCTGGTTTGAACAATTCCGCCTTGCAGGAGAAGTAGAAATAGCATTGGACGAAATGATGAGACGATGTGGACAAGGATAAGACGGAATTCACACTGTATAAATAGTGTAATCGCACTTCCTGTAGGAAACCTCAGAAAAAAAAATAGACACGAGACAGACAGTTGTAGGGGGTTTTTACTGAATTTGGTTTCCTCCTGTGTAAATATTATAGCTAGTTATTGTTGTAATTAAGGCAGCAACATGACTGCAGTAGACAAATAGTACATATTAGAATAATATGCACTGGCACCTTGAGATATGATTAACCCATATCATCACTCACTGGCATGAATAGTAATTAGCCAATAGATGCCTGACAGCATACATTGGCTTCAGGATCTCCAACAACCTTCCCGTTTAGGTTAGATTAGGGAGTATGTTGGAGCTCACACTAGTGTGCGGAAAACCCCGCTTTCATGTATATAGAGGGACTTCTCGCCACACATATAGAATTACAGCAATTTCTTTACAATTAACTATCCATTAAACATCAGTAGACTTCGTCGTACATTAAACAAACTCATCATAACTCTAACTTATCCTCATACTTGGTATATCATTCTTACAATTTCCGGAACCATTCTAATTGTTATACCTGCATGGGTCCATAGGGTACCTGAATGGGCTAAATGAAAACTAAAAAAAAACAAGAAAAAAACAACACTTGGAGATTAATTTTTTTTTATTAAAATCACACATTCCCAATCTCCTATCTCTTATCAATAAATCTCCAATATCTCAAAGTTCCAGTCATATTGACTTAATAGTTAGCGTTCGCTTCTCTCATTATGCAATATCTCCAGTTCTAGCATGTAGCATGCTACTCCCGACGAGAAAGTTCTATCCATAAAATTTGGGCATTACAATGTCAGATATTGAAGAAGAATAAATTAGCAATTTGGGCAACAAACTCAGAATAATTGCTAGTGTCCATTGGACTTAATTTAGATATACGTAAGGTTAGTTCAATGCAAAACGAAAGTGTCGGTTTATCACTGGTTCTAGTTAATGTGCTAGCACAGAGATTGGGTGTCACGGACGAGGACGGAGACGAGGACGAATACGAAGACGGAGACAAGGACGAGGACGAAGACGAAGACAGAAGCTGATAATGAGGACGAGATATTTAGATTAATAATTAGATTCTAAAACATGAGTAATTCACAAGACAAAAAGCTACAGTACACATCCAGTACTAGAGCTTCCTTAAGTACACGAGCTTCAATACTATAACCAAGGGTGTAGTAGTTTACAGCCATAACACAGTAACTAACTAGTACTCTGAATGGCAACTGTTGCTATCACAACACTGTAACCATTACAATACCTAAATTGTGTTATTGTATGTGTTGTAATTCTAACAGTCCTGCATCTGTTACACTAGTCATGTACTATCTCGTTTTCGTTTCCGTTATTCGTATCATTTAATACTGCGCCACATCTATTTTCTGTAACATTAATTAGTCTTGGCGCTTAACACAAGATATGTTGGAAATTATGGTATATGCATGATTCTGTCTTACACTCACCTAGCTTGGGGGTCTACTGGTGGTCAAGACATACCATCACCATGATAATGTCGCCAAACTGGGACATGGGCGCATATCCTGGCTTATTTCTAAATTCGTCTCAGTAGGACTAATTCCTGTATATATATGTAGTGTTCTCCTCCTTCAGAAATCCTCAGTTCATTACATTTACTGAATATCTCTGAAGGTAAGACCTCTTACAGTAGTTACTCCAATTTAAGTTCATTACATTTACTGAATATCTCTGAAGGTCTATTCATACCCTCTTCGTGTCACCCTACCAAGCTTCACCCTTAAGCTCTATTCAACTGCTTCGTTGTTCGGCATATATCCTTCACCTCCCTATACCATTCCAGCATTCCTCTACGATCCATAACCTCACAATAGGTTCTGAGCCCGGATTTAGCTCTTCCTGCAACCATGTCCGTCGAAGTCGCCCCAATTTCCGTTGGTAACCTCAAAGCCAACCTCCCAGTACTGTCCTCGCAATCCCAATATCGGACATGGGCACAAACTTGGCAAGTTGTGCTTATGGGGTGTAACTACTGGCGCGTCATCACGGATCATGATTACAACAAGGAATCTCGACCATCAAATGCTGGCAAAGGTGTCATAGGAAATGCAAAGAATAACCCTACAAACGAACAGGAAGAATATGACATGAAGAACAACGCAGCACACGCTGCTATCCTCTCTGGAGTATCCACTGATCTCCAAAGGATCGTAGCTGGCTTCGTTGGCCAACCTGAATCTGCTCGGCTCGCGTGGAAAGCTTTGAAAGATAAGTTTGATCACGAAACTCCAATATCTACCCTCGAATTATTCAAATCTCTAGTGACGCTAGAAATGAAAGAAGGTGATATTATCTCCGATCACATATCTAACTTTGAAACTACCTACGCCCACATCTTCAACCGATGTTCTGAATCATCTCGGGAGGAAGCACATTATTACAAGTGCTTCCTTGACTCCGACTCTATTAAAACAATGACCTTCCTTTACACTCTCCCTCGCTCCTTCGAAAATGTCGTGGACAACCTTATGTCCAAGGAACGCCTCACCTTTGCTGATGTCAACAAGCGATTACTTGACATCCAAGCATCCCGTTCCGCCTCTTCATCTA